TTGGAATTCTTTTCTTAGTTTTTCATCCATGCTTGAACGAGAACTTTAAAAATAAGTGCAGTTAAATGGCATAAGGAGACATGCCATAGCTCGTAAGACTCTCCAACTGAACGTGAACGGGTCAGGAGAAAGGTACAATAAAACTATTTTAGCTTTTTTTTTTTTAATTTTTTTAGTACAACGACGTGTGAGAGGATTCAATCTTATGAAAAATATATGTCTTAGCCAACTGAGTAGTATTGAGATTGACAAATCCAGTTTTAGTTTCTTGCTATTAAATGTTTGCATTTTAATTCGGGACCATCTATTTCTAAATTTGATACTTCACTCGATAAGATGACTTAGAATTTATGCCCACTCAATGCCATACCAAATTTTCTATAGAAGAAAATTCTAAGATAAATCTAGCAATAAGGATCGAAACAAAGTTTGTACATGAAATAAAATAGAAAAGTTTAAACTTTTAAAGTATAAAAGGTAAAAGGAAAATAGAACAAATTATAAAATTTTGGGAGAAAAATGAGATTTATGAGAGGGAAATATGGCACACGGATTCATTCATCCGTGGAAATCAAACAAGTGATAAGTAGTAAGAAAAGAGGGAAAAAAAAAAAGAGAAAAAAGATGGCGGATGACGTGTCGTTTCAGTAAAGCCTCAACCAAAACCAAACCCCAGCAAATTCTGAACGACTTGTCGTAAAGGTTCACATCCAAATTTCGAATCTTTCAAACTAGCAAATATTATATGTATAATATTTTTATCACGATCCACCATAACCAATATTAATCTTTTTTTGAAAAATAATTTTAAGATTTTAAAAATGGTATCTATACCAAAATATCAAAAAGGAGGGTGGTTTGGATTATTATTCCTTTTTTTTTTAATTTAACAATTGCGTGGATGGAAAATTCAACCATCAATTTTATAGATGGTAACAGATGTTTTAGATTTTTATTTATCTTTTCATTGATGAATCTAAATTTTTAAATCTTTTTGGTTAAAAATAGTCCCTGTACTTTAATTAAGTAAGAATTTAGTCTATAAACTTAAGTTTGTAACGATTTAGTCCCTATACTTTTCTTAAAGTAACAATTTAGTCCCTCGATTTTAACTTGTAACGATTTAATCCATGTAGTTTAAAATTTGTAGCAATTTAGTCCCTATCGTAAATTTTTTAATTAAAATTAAGTGTCAAATTTTATCATTTAACAATTAAATATTACTAATTCATAAACATATTTGGTCACTCTTTAGTTTATCAATCTATACATACAAGAAATTTAACAAAAAAAATTCGCGATAAAAACTAAATTGTTATATATTAAAATTCAAAGATTAAATTTTTATCGATTTCAAAGTACAAAGACTAAATCGTTACAAATTAAAGTTTAGAGACTAAATTAATATTTTAACAAAAACACATCAACTAAAAGTGTTTTTCAACCGATCTTTTAAATTACAAACAAGGACAGAATGGATAAGGATCATTTTAACAAGTGCAGTGGAGGAGAAAGAACAAACAAAATTTCTTTTGATTAGATTGAAATGATGGGAAAAGGAAAAATTGGAAGATATTTTCTTATTTTATTTTATTTATTTTAAGGCAGATGAAAACGAAATGAGATGAAGAAAATTGGTACAAGTTGGCAAAAGGTCAAAGAAATAATAAATTATAAAAGAAAGTTTTGATCCAACAGAGTGTGTTTATATATATTATAAATATATTTGAAAGAAAAAAAATATTGAGAGCAATTTCAGATTCAATCAATTCATATCCAAAATGTTTTTATTTATTTATTTATTTTTTTTGCTCTCTCTTACGTGATGGCTACTAACATTGAGGGGAGGCACTGCCATATGGAGAAAATTCGGTTTATATTTAAAGAGANAAAAAAAAAAGTCGGAGAGAAGATAGAATTTTAACCTTAGAATTTGACAAGTTGTAAACTTTTTTTAATTTAATCAAATTATACATTTAAGTTTGGATAAACATAGCCAGCTTAAAAAAATGTTGTAATTTTTACCGTTTAATAGATTTTCATTTAAAAAATTATTGAAAAAAAGTATTACCACGTGTCTCTTAATGAATTATAAATCATTTATTCGAAATGAAATTGATAGGATTAAAAAAAGTATATATATATAACCTAGGGCTCAATCTTGGACAGTCTATGGAAACTACCAAGCTCGAGTATGGTAGAGGCACAAAGGAATTTCTGGTGGAGTAGTGAAATGCATAGAGATCGAAAGAACACGAAATGAAATGAAAGGATTAGAAATATATATATATATATATATATATATATATTATAGTTGGATTTTTTGAGTTGAAATTTGTAAGTTTTTGTAAAGACATTGAGTGATTGTTTTTTTACATTAATTAAACTTCATTTGGTAAAAAAACTTGAGTTCCATTAAATTAGTCAGTTTTTTAAAATTTTTATATTATTATTTTTTTAAATTAATGGGTGAATTAACAAAAAATATTGAATGAGACGTAATATGCCACACTTGTCAAAACATAGGGTTCAATTTGATAAGATTGAAAATTTATAACTAAAATTTGATAAAACTGGTCAAGTTTAATAGGAAAAATTGGATGATTTGCAAATTCAATCAAATTAATTGAAACTTTCAAAATGTTAGTGCCGATTAAAAATTAAAACTAATCCCAAGATATGAAAACCGAATGGAAAGTAAGTTGATACCATAGATACTATATCTAAATTGATTATTTAACCCAATGTTCTATTTAGCTTTTTTTTCTTTTTAAACTTTTTAAATTTTCAATTTTAGTCCTCAAACTTTTATTAAATTTCACATTTAGTCTCTAATGCTATGTCTTATTTATCCATATATGATTGTAACCTATTCATCATCTATTTGTCATATATATCAATGGAAATAATGTGAAATTTAATGAAAATTTGAGGATTAAAATTAAAGTTTTAAATATTAAATGACCAAAATAGAACGTGAGTCCAGATGTCCAAATTCGAGTTTATTATGTTAAACATAATGAGCTCTAAGAAAATAAACAAATTTTATTAAAAAAAAAATAAATGAATAACTAGAATCTTGGGGGACCAATCGTTTGTTTTGAAAATTTAATTAAATGTCTTTTTTTTATATATATGGCAATTAAATGTCTACTTCTTTCAGACAAATTATAAATTAAATAACCTTAATTTTCTTTGATGAAAACTTCAAGACGGGACCTGTCTTCATCAAATTGGTAAAACAACAAAAAAAAAATTTATAAAAATTTAAAAACAAATTATTTATCGCTTGTCGTTGATTTTTTTTTTTTTAAATTCCACCAATACCATAGTCGGCAGGATACATTTAGTAATATAATGGCAATGTCACAACCGCATCATTATACCTTTAAAATACTAATTATTATAATTTACATTTTATAAGAAATTATTGTAACGTTAATTAAAAATTAAAACATATAAAAACCTATAGTTTGGGTTATGATAAAATTTTAATGTAATGAAGTTAAAGATTGATGGTTTTTTTGGGTGTTATGTGCAAATAGTTGTCCTTTTTTTCTAAGCAAAATGGAATAATTGTCTACTTTACAATATTTTGTATAAAAGGTCTATATATCTTAGAATCACCAAATATATTAAATTTTTGGGAATTTGTGATGGCTAGCTACAATATTCATCATTAATTAGGGTAACTTTTGAGTTTTGCAAATATGATAAAATATTTGAAATTTGAAATTTTTTATTTATTCCAATTTTACCCTTCTAAATTTTCTGATATATCAATGAAATATCCAATCAGATATATATACTAAATATATCATATATGTTAGCAATACAAGTATATTGTTAGTATATCAACGTTAGTATATTAGTGGTATATATCAAATAAGGTGTATCAGATCAGATATATCATCGTTTCGCCTTTGTGTTCATTGAGGGTATACTGGACTTTTGCTTTCTTTGATTGCGTCTCAAAATTTTGCTATTTTTTCAAAATTGAAAAATAATCGCTACTTTTATAAATTTCTATTACGTGCCTTAATTCTTCATTAAGAGCGAGAGTCGATCAAATTTGGTTGGTTTCTCAAGGTTGAATCTAACCAAAAAGGGACTAAACCTAAAAACCAAAAAAGGACTAAACTCAATCTCTTCCATTTAGTTGCATTCTATATTGAGATGTATTATGCACAAATATGATTGATTTTTAAATTAATTTTATATTTTTCACTTTTTAAAAGTTTATTTTATATTGTATTTATATTCAGAAACTTAGTTGACTTTTAAAATATTCTACTTTAATTTTTATTCTTTGTAAAATATATGTATTTTTTGAATTAAATAATATATTCGAAATTCTTTTAATTGGAGATACATGACTCAACCAATTAAACAATAATCAGATTAAAATATTTTATTATAATCTCTAAACTCTTTTTTAGTACTACTCAATCTTGGTGCATCTATTTTTACTCAGAAACAAAATTATTCACGTGATGTCATATAAAATTCTTATTAAAAACGACAAAAAAACCCCAAACAAAAATAAGAGGGTTTATAGACTCTAAGATAAGATTTAAACCCATAGTCGTTTTGACATAGTTTGATCTAATAGAAATTTGATTGGTTCGGTTCGTAGCAATGAATAGAAACGAACCGAACCGACCAAGTTTTGGAGGTTAATTAGGAGAAGTATGGCATAGTTGGGTTGTTTGTCCTAAAAAGCAGGATGAAGAAGAGGCCGAGGTCAAATCTGTGGTGTTGTGTTTGAAAAAGTCAACCATTGGAATGGTTGGCTTTAATATGGGGCTGTTTTCTTCATAACAAAAAGAAAAAAAAAAAAAAGAGAAAAAAAAAGAAGAAGAAGAAAAAGGAAAAAGAAGAAAAAAAGGATCGAGTTGAGAGGAATTGGCGCACCTCCATCAAACAAAAACTGAAGAAGAAACAAAGAAAGAGAAGAAGAAACGAAGAAACAAAGGAAGAAGAAGAAGAAGAACACAACAACAAAACTCTTTAAACTTCTTCTCTCTTTCAAACTGATTCTTTGCCCTTTATTCTTCTTCTTCTTCCTCCCATTTCTTCACTCCATGATTTAATTTCCTTCCTTCTTTCCTCAAGGTACGTTGCTCGATCCTTTGCGATCTTTCCGTTGAAATGTTTTCTCAAATCTCGATTGCGACTCTTTCATACGGTAAAGTATCTATATTATAATGTGATGCACTAGACACTCTGATATAGGATTGAGAAGTTTGGATTTATGTAGTATATATATGTATTGATTTGTGCACAAGAACCGGTTGTTAAAGACCCGTTGGTAACATTCTCGTTTCTTGTTTCTATTTTTTGAAAAAAAGAATTGCATAGATCCTGACATCTGTGGATTCAAGAATGACAAAATAAGATCTTTATTTATGTTGGAAGAAATTGAAAACGGAAACAAGAAACAAGAAACTTGTTTATGTTGTTTTCAAAATTTATATACCAGGTTGAGAATGTTGCTAAAATCATGAGAAATAATAAACATAAATAGTTATCAAATGATTAATTTTTTTTAATAAAATTTGAAACTAGAAACTAGAAACGAGAATGTTATCAAATCAACCTCGAGAATCATGTGTAATTTGTATTCGATGGGTGAGTTTATGATTTGTAAACGTTGATATGAAACTGTGTGGCAGACTCAATAGAAATTACAAGTTTATGCCACAATTTTCTTCCTCTATTTTTTCCCCTCATGAATATGTAGATGAAGAAATATTTATATGTTTTTCTTTTTCCATTCTAATGAGTCCTCAAAATGGAACTTTGGAAATGATGTGTAATCTATATGAAATTATTGTGTTGTTTTATTTTGTTTTATTTATAATTATATTATCATTAATTTACAGTTTTGAGTTATGGTTAGAGATGTAATTAAGCGTTTAGATTCTTGAGTTTTTCCCTTATAAAAAGAGAAAATTGCAAATTAATCCAATACCAAAGTTGATGAATCGTGCAACCTCAATCATATTTATATTTAATTTTAAGAGTGAGTTCATAATGACTTTTAAAAGGGCAAGAATATTTCCACTTAACAAATATTTTTCTCAAAATTATCTCAAACTCACCCTAACTATGGTTTTGATTTACGAATTTTTATCTTCTCATTTTTGTTATCGAACATTTAAAACCTACACTAGCAATTTCGTTCTAGTAATTTGTTTTAAATTTTTGTTTTCCTCTTCATAATTCCCATTTGAAGAGTGATTTTGAAAATTCTAATTATACTAAAAGTGTTTTCACTTGAAAGTATTTTTCTCCTCAAACTCAGCCAAGTACGATTTTGGTCTACGAACTTTTATCTTCTCATTTTGATTATCGAACATTTAAGATCTGAGTTATCTGTTTTAATTATTTTTTTCCCTGTTCATGATCCTTGTTGAAATGCAGGTAATGCTAGAATTTTCAAAGCCAAGCAGCTGAATGGCAACAAGTAGAGCAAGTTTTGGGAAGGAAAGGAGGATCACTGCTCCAACTTCTCTCACCATTCCTAATTATTCAACCAAAAGAACTCCAAAATCATCTCCCAGAAGCCAACAAACTGATCACAAACTAGCTTATTCTTCTTCTTTTTCTTCTTCTTCTTCTTCTTCCTCAACTTCTTCCAAACTAACCTCCTCTTCTTCTTCTCCTTCGCTCTCGATGCTCTCCGAGAAGCACGTTCCAAACTATCTCAAGTCCACAGCCAGCTCCCGCCACGACCATGGCAGCTTCAAGACGGTCAAGAAGTTTGTCGCCCCTGCACCGATACCAGAGGGCAAGGCGAGCCTGAATAGAAGAAGATCTTTCGACAAACCACCCCCGACCGCACCGCGTCTGGATAAGCCGTTTCGGTCACCTGGACCGAGGAGTAGGGCCACTCATGTTCCCGTCCGGTCTTCCTCCTTCGGGTCCAAACCCGCCCCCACCTTTCCCAGCTCTGCAAAGCCTGGCCACTTGGAGAGATCATCATCTTCCAAAACCTCACCCAAGGTCGAGCCTAGCTATTTGGAGAGATCATCATCTGCCAAAACCTCATCCAAGGTTGAGCCAAGCCATTTGGAGAGRTCATCATCTTCCAAATCCTCATCCAAGGTTGAGCCTAGCCATTTGGAGAGATCATCATCTGCCAAAACCTCATCCAAGGTTGAGCCAAGCCATTTGGAGAGRTCATCATCTTCCAAATCCTCATCCAAGGTTGAGCCTAGCCATTTGGAGAGATCATCATCTTCCAAATCCTCATCCAAGGTGGGTGGGAAACCGCAGCAGCCAGTTCAGAATTTGAGAAGTGGTAGTAATGCAATTGCAAAGAAAAGCTTGAGGAGAGAATCTAGCAATGCTGGCTCTGCCTTGGCAGAAATAGTTCCCAAGGCTAAGAATATTGCCGTTGAACAAGCAGTTCATAGTCCTTCTTTCGTTCTCGGTGTCAACGAGGAGGAATTGAAGAAGATCGAGTGCGAACTCGATCCTTATCTTCCTGATCCAATGCCTGAATTAGATAAAGAAATCAGAACTGATCATGTGGAAAAAAAGGTGGATGTTTTGGATAAAGAAGAAGCTGATGCAAAACATGAGGCTGAGAAGCAGCCTATACAAGACACAGAGATCTCCAAAGCTGACACTGAAACTCCATCGCCCATAGAGGTGGAAGCGAAATTGTTAATCCAGGAAGAATCGAATCGAGAACGAACGGAAGGTGTAGGAGAGGAAGAAGTCAAAGATGAGGAGAAACCAGAGATAATAACACAAGAAAAAGAGGTAGATAAGGATGAAGAGAAAAGCGAGATCAGTCCTACTCAGGAAGGAATCGTCGTTTTAGATCAGAAAGAAGTAGAAGATGGGGAGAATTGCAAGGAAGAGGCTGAAGTGACCGAGAAGGTGGCAGCAGCGGAGAAAGAGGGCGAAGCAGTGGCCGAGAAGCTGGCAGTGATGGGAGCGAAACAACGACAAGGAAGCGGGAGGAAGGAGTCTCCGGCAATGTACAATGATGTAATAGAGGAGACAGCAAGTAAGCTATTGGAGAAGAGGCAGAACAAGGTAAAAGCATTGGCTGGGGCATTTCAGACAGTCATTGACTATGAATCTTCATCCAAATGATTCATAAAATGCCTCCCATTTTC